TACTTCAACTCTTAATAGATCTACCTTTTATAGCGTGATGCAAGCTTGATGCAACTTGATGCTTTAACAAGACGTTCGTTACGAAGGTATTTTATTAGTATATACTGTATAATATGTTTGAGTTGTTTTTTTTATACTACGTACTATCCTTTATGAATACTTGTGTAACGTCAATCTCGAAAATCATCGGGTTCGTTTCCCCTGCTTTTGTCAATAACAAGGTTTTTGTAATAGATGTAAATGTTGTCTTTATGCATTTAAGTTTATAGCTTAACAGATTAAACCTGGTTAATTACATGTACGATAATTATTGCCGTAATACAATATAGTCTTTCAAGCCCTGATAAACGTTGTAAATAAAAAAACAAACCCTGAATCGCAATACCTTACGAAAAATATACAACCCTTGGAAAGGTACTGATAACTCAAATAATTATTTCGTTGTCTAATATTGGCATAAGTAAAAAATGGTAAATACAATACGATCATTTTCAAATTCATAAATAAAATTACTTAATATATGTTTGTAACCCATATTAGTTTAATGAACTTAATTTTATACCTGTACGTACCATGTTTTCTTACAATCCTATTAATTATAATTTTCAGCATTGTGGCGATCTTTAATTTATAATTAAAAAAAATGTGGGTGATCGTGCTTGTTTGGTGGACCACTAACTTCGCCAACACTAAATTCAAGATCTGTTGATTTTAACGACCAAATAACGTCGACCTTATTTCCGATTTTACGGGATTATTTATCGGTTTTTTCTAGATTAAGTTCTTCAGACGATGCGAATAAATGTTTTTCGCATTATATGGAAATGCAATGTAACCTTCGTTAAAATAGTACAAGATTAAGCAAGCACATACTAACAAAAATATATGTATCTCCCGATGCATTCCACGGAACAAACTACGAATAGAAAAATTTCTCGATATGCTAATTCAGACAAATCAATGTCTGCAAAGTCGTTGTTTCTCTCAAACGACTCAGCACTAAAAAAAAAAACTTAAATGTAAAACTTAATAACAAATATGAAATTAACTTATTGCTCTTACAGAAGGTTTGCAAAGTCCCATACGAATGTCAAACTATCATTTTTTCGCGAAAGTCGTCCGCCTATATTATCAAATTAATAAAATCCAATAACTGTTATAATTGCAAACAACCAATAAATTTAATTATATAAATATAATGAAACAAAGAATAAACCATACATACTTTAACAAATTTAACAATTAGCTCTTTCACATTATCTGGAGCAGATTGTAGTTCTTCTGATCCAAATTGCTTCATCTCATGTACTGCATCATTAGGTAGGAATCGCATAAAGGCACTATTTGATCCCGGAGTAAGATCTATAATATCATAAAAAGCTAAACTAAAATTTTCATTGTCAATCATCAAATATTTTTTAGTATATTGCAATTAAACATATTACTAAGAAATAATTACTCGGTATACGGTTGGTTTGTTCGCTTTTGCCATTGTGTTAATGCATCACGGACATTGATTTTTGTATTACCCACGATCCATATCTTTCCATTATGCTGGATAGTTTCCTCAGCATGCCTTTCCAATTCATTTTCGTTACCGTTAATATTTACGATATTAAGAAGGATTTCGTTATCTGAATGTTCCAGATTTTCCCTATACGCCTGCGTTTAGATGAGTCACAACCCGTACTTTCCTTATCTTTAGCTTCTAAATATATTTAATACAATGTTTATTAAAGACAAAATAGGTTTTACCAAAAAATCCCGACATCAAAAATCTCGACAACCATAATCCCGACGTGGCGATTAATATTTAAAGATTAGTAATCACATTAACAATCGTTGTCAGACGTTAAACTTTTAATTGTCACCTCGCGTGATGGCAATATTATGACCTGTCGAGATTTTGGATGTCGGGATTTTTTGGTAGAACCGACAAAATAATAGGGTACTATAAAAAAATTAATACTATATACCCAATCGTTGTTTTAACACAGAGTCCTTTTTCGATCGGTGTTTTTAATGAATGTTTATCCCCAACATCCCCGATTTTTATATTTTTACAAGAAACGAGCTGAATGCAGTTTGTCCCCGTGTTAATACTCTTTTTCTTTAAGACTTTTTCAACATTAAGCCATAAATTATCTAGGCTATTTCCTGTTTTACGTGGATTTTGATTCTTGGTACAATAATAATAATGAGAATAATAAAATAGCTATTAATATATCTAAAACGCTTTTGGCATCTTATTAACAAGAAGTGCTATAATATATTAGCCATAACGATCTAGAAGATCATCAGAAGAACAACTAGAAGTCGTGTCTTCCTTGTTATGGATGCCGAAACCACAACGATCTAGAAGATCATCAGAAGAACAACTAGAAGTCGTATCTTCCTTGTTGTAGACATCTGCATACTGCAGAGGGCATTTTCTATAAAAAATGTTAATACTCGCCTCACAAGTAGTTAAAAGTTCATTAGCTTTCCAGATTTTTGGGATATCTGAACTTCGGTTAATGATTTCACGTAAACTTTTAAAAAGCGCGTCCATAGCCTTGCTATAAGTTAGTTGTTCAGGATCATTTTTATGATTATCAATCCAATTTTTATGAAACTGAAAGGTATTAGCAGGATTCATATCAAAATAACAGTTCCACGAGTTCATGATAAGTGTTTTTAGAAAAGAAATGTTGTTATAATAAAAGTACGCGTTTTTTCTGTATTTATAGTGAGGCAGTTCATATATTGATTTATATATTGCATACCCCGCACTTATTTGTGCGAGTAATACAAACCCCTAGAAAGGAAATGGCCAATCGGAGTGCACAAATTTGATTGTTCTGGATCAGCCGACATGAATTCCGAACACGTGCGAAAGAAGGAAAAAGCGAAAATACTCAAAAACTAATGTTTAAATCGACCTTGGTTCACTAGCTAAAAATTTCGGAAATGAAATTTTACATATAACGAGTGACAATCTATTGTTATAGCCTCTAATGTTAACGTTCTAACCCTAACTTCTATCTTTACGCACTTAGTTTATTTACAAAATTCGATTTCCTTTTTTGGTTTGTATTACTCGCACAAATAACCGGAAATACTTATTTATGTGAGTGATACAAACCCAAAAAAGAAAATTCAACGTAAAATAAACAAAATAAACCAAAAATTTGGGGTTAGAACGTTGAAGTTAGATACTATGGAAATAAACGTTTACTTTTTATATATAAAATTTCATTTACGTTTTAATTAGTGCCCAAGACAGGTTTAAACATCCAGTTTCTTGTATTTTCGCTTTTTTCGTTTTTTTTTCATATTTTTCTTCTCTTTGCTCACTAATCCGGAATAATCACATCTGATTGGCTAACTTCTCTTTTAGATTTGTATCACTCGCACAAATAAGAGCATACATCGATACCTTCTTGATTTGAATTTTACTTAGGTAACCCGTCGCTTACGTTGACGGGCAAAAAAGTAAAAAAGGTTATACTAAATAGTAGTTAAATAGGAGAGAGTAAAGATATAGAAATAAATTTATTAGTTTAAAATAGGCGAATCTAATTTGTAATACAGGTTTTGCATACCAATTTCAAATATTTGAGCAATTAAATTTGGACATCTAAGCAATCAAATTTGGATATTATAGTAATCAAATTCAGACAGCTTAGCAATCAAATTCAAACATCTTAGTATTTAAACTTAGATACTATAGCAATTAAATTTGAACACTATAGTGATCAAATTTAGATATCTAAGCAATCAAATTTGAACACTATAGCAATCAACTTTAAACATCTTAGCAATTAAATTTGAACACTATAGCAATAAAATTTGAACACTATAGCAATAAAATTTAAATACTCAAAACTCTTTCTGATGATCATCTAGTCAACAAAAAACAAGAAACCGAACTACGGTCAGCGCTATAGAAGACGCTTAAGTAAATAATAAACTTGGTTCTACGAAAGTAGGTGTGTTGTCAACAAAGTACCAAGAGTGTAAAACCGGGGAGCAGACTACTTTGGACTGGTTTTGGTAGGGGTCAAGCTCTTCTTCTGGCAGACTCTTTTGCCTATTCGGCATCCAAACCAGAAGGATATTTTGGAAACACAGAACGTCTAGGACGACACTAGGAGTATTACAAGCTTAAGGTATATCTATA